ATTCAGCCATTCATATTTCCTGTCCATGCTTTCCAAACGGTGTTAACGTCTTACTTGGCAAACTGTCCACCTTGAATGTATACTAGGTAAATCCTCCCTGATGGTGGCAGAGCAGAGAGCGCCCAAGAAAGAGGAAGAGAACAAGCAAAAGACCAAAAAGCTAAAAGGCTAACAAGCTAAAACTTCTATTTGGGGGACTATTGCTTTTCCTTTGAGTTAATGTGCCCTGCTCTGACGTTCTCCTACCATACTGAGTTTTTTCTACTTCCATAGCAAAATCATGCAATAAGCACAATGCCATTTTTTCTTGCACAGTTTTTAGTTTACATTGAATAGCACTGTAGATTGTTTAAATTAGTGCAAGTGCTCCATAATCTTTACATTGATTTCCTAGGAAGTCAAAATTAGCAGATAGTACGAAAGAAGAAGAATAAATGTTAGTTCAAGCCTTTCAGTAGGCGATAATAGTTTCATTCTCAACACCAGTTATACTAAAAAAAGAAACAACCACGAGTTATCATCATTATCAGGTTATCCAAGCCACATGTCACTAAAAAGCATAGCAGTTGTCCAAATTGAGCCGTTTCAAACCAAAAGGCAGAGTTGTAATTTTTTACCGCAAGGTCCTGCTCTAAGCCAGAAACATTATGAAAACATATGTATTTCAAGTCCAGAATGCCTGAAGCTAATCAATCCTGTTCAGTTTGTCTTTACATTATGAGGCTTCCTTTTGGGATATATCATGCAATGTGTAGTTGAATTGATGTTCTTGGCGAGGAAAATAGTGTCCTCGATGCTTTATGGTCTGTAGGAACTTCCAGAACCTTTGTATGTATGTGTTTGCATTCTGAAGTTTGAATCTTGTCCGTATTGCAGACTGTCGGATGTACAGGAGAACCCATGGATCATCACGGCAAGCACAGAAAGGTTTGCAGATCCTTGTGAGTTGACCGATGAAACAACAAGGACTTGGGTCATGAGGCTCAAAACTACTACCAAACTTGTTTGTTTAAGTAAGCAGCAATTACATGAGCAGAATCAGGAATTGGCTGAGGAACGCTTTGCAGTGGTATCCGAGCAATCTTTAGAGCTCATCCTTGAGGTTGCATGCTCATTCTGTGACGCAAGATGGTCTCGTGTCCACATTTTGCAACAGCTGACTGTTTTTGACGCGCTTGTTGATGTCCTGTTCAATATAAAAGACCTGCATTTCAGCAGATCTGGTGAGGTTGCTGGCATTATTAATAAGATGGTGAATGCTTTCAAAGGTGTGATTCAGAGGACCTCAAATGACATCCGTGGCAGCAAAGAATCCACCATCCACCCAGCAACTTTGGTCCTCGTACAAGTCCTGGAATTCTTCTGGCGTAACGGAGATATGGTGCAGTCAATCCTTGAATCTGGAGATTACAACACTGGCCCGTGCTCTGACATGCTTGATTGTCTGGTATCCAAGCTCAAGGAATGTTCAGAAATGATTTTCCAGGAAAAGGGACAAAGGTGCATATTCTTTCTGAATAACCTAATTTATGTTCTGCAAAAGGAGTGCCATTCAGGGTTACTCCCTCGCAATGCAGTGAGTGATTTAAATTCACTGATTGACCAGAGCATCAAGAGCTACCTTGAAGAATACTGGGTTGCGCTCGTGAGATGTTTATGCTTGGATGGGGACTCTCTGACTCTGAGGAAGCCGCGCCGTTCGTCCTTGGATAAATTTACTGAAGAGTTCTGCACTATCTATGACAGCCAGAGGACTTGGAAAGTTCAGCCTTGGCTTAAGGCAAGACTGCGTGAACAGATAGTGGAACTGGTTGTTCCAGAATATGAGAAGTTCTTGATGGCGCTTCAGGAGAATCCAGGTTCTTGGTTGACGAGGATGCGCCGAGCCAGATCTGAGAAACCGATACACACTGCTGAGCGGCTGGGACAGCTGATTCGTGAACTCTTTGAAAGATAGCATTCAGGGATGGGCGGGCACCAAACTTATAGAGGGTCGGAATAGTATATAGGAGAAAGCACGACTTGGTATCCGGGTCTGAACTTCTTATAGAGCACCTGGGAGCACCGACCCTCCGACCCAACAAATAAGAAGGGATGGGAGTAGTATATAGGAGAGCATTCTTTATTTGTTGGTTCGGTTGTGATGCCAAATGGGCCCATGTATGTAGTATCATCAGGTGATGAGCATGCGTCCTGTATATATTATATTATACTACTCCCTCTGTCTCAAAATAAGTGTCTCAAGCTTAGTATAACTTGTATTAGCTCTAATACAAAGTTGAGACACTTATTTCGGGACGGAGGGAGTATTATGACAGCCACTGGTGGATCTGGCAGATGCGGCGATGGCGCTGCACAATGAGTTGGGCATTGGTCTAGATGACATGTCCATTCGTCCATTCTTCCTAGAGGACTTCCTTATGATATGCGAGCACCCTCTCATCCGGCAACTCATGGTGGAACGTGGATTCGCCCCCGGCAATGGCTTTCACCTTGGCCTTCGGCCGTGGATGCGTCGGGCTCAAGCAACAGGTGCCTTCCTGCCTTTTATGGTGCCCCTGGAGCTGGTCGGCGTTCCTGCCCATGCCTAGACAAGGAGAACGGCAGAGGTGATTCCATGCGGGTGTGGGCGCGTAGTCCAGGTCGCAGAGCGCACGGCGCGCCGGCATGACATGTTGCGCTTCCAGGTGTGGCTGAAGACGTTGGACCCTGGGCGCATACCGCGCCGCCAGCGTCTGTTCGTCTCGGAGCCCGGCGCGGGCGGACGACAGGTGCCGGCAGGGGACTCCTCCTGATGAGTTGTGGTACCCTATCACCATCTCGCGCCTGGCCCCACCGGTCAGACATGCGCCCTTCGCCAGCGTGGCGGAGAGCTCGGCGGCTGGGGGCCCGGCTAGGGCTGGCGACTCCGGTGGCTCGGCGGCTTCGACGCTCGTGGTGCGCCAGGCTGCCACCCGGCCCGTGGCAAGTTGTCAGGAGGGTGGGCCAGCGTCGGCATGCGGGTCGAGCTGTGCCGCGTTCGTCACGGGTGATGCTAGACCCGCGGGGCAGTGCGGGGATCAGCCAACAGTTAGCCGACAGGTGGAGCTCCTGCCCTGCCACAGAGAGGAGGAGCCGAGCAAGATCACTTTCGCGGGTCTACGCAACAAGCCTGCCGACATCTCGTTTCCAGTGGTTGTAGCAGCCAAGATGGAGCTGCCTGTTTGCGGGGCTGGGCTCAGGGTGGAGCTTTTTAGGCTTGAAGGTTAGGACAAAATTATGGGGAAATATTGATCATTAGGTTCAGTTTTTGTGTGCCAGCAATAGTAGTTGTCATTTAGGAGTAGTTTAGTCCAAAATTCAATTTTTTTGGGGGGTGCCATTTAGTTTGGAGAGCAACAATTGGCATTCGGTGTTGGCACATACACAAGGGTCACTTTGAACACTAATACCAACAATTTCTGAATTATATTTTATTTTTTTCTCAATTCTTTTCATTGAAGTTTTTGTTCCTTTTTCTCTCCCCTCGATCGCGGCGCTCTCTCTTTGTGTTGGGCTTGATCCACTAATCACTCCGTTATTTTCTTCCAAACTTTGCCATCTCTTCGTGGTTTTCTTAACCATCACGTCCTGCTGAATTAATACCTATGTTAAAACGCAAATCAGACAAGGACATGGTTGACTGGAATGCACATTTGATAAGAGCTGCAAAGGAACCACCGGTTTGACAAGGTCCAGGATTTCATCAGGGCATGCACAATCCACGGTGCTCAACTCCAGCAGATCCCTTTAAACTGCAAGTGCAACCCCTACATCTCTCCCCATCCATTTATCTTCCTTCCGTACATCTCCAACAACTTTCAATTTCACATCACAAGATTTCATACTTTTATGTTTCTACCCCACACAACTCAACAACATTACAATGCTATACATCACATCCGAATGAACCACATAATCTGTAATACTCCCTCTGTCCCATAATATAAGAACGTTTTTGGCACTACATCAAAAACGTTCTTATATTATGGGACGGAGGGAGCAGTTCACATCGGTAGGAGGGTCTTCACGTTGCAATGAAATTCCTCCTTAACGACCTTTCCAATAGTTGACGCCGGTTTGATCATTTCCCCTGCCACATGAAGTGTCACAACCAATAGTTGATGCCATCTATGCGCCCGGAGTCACTCATCATGCTCATGAAAGAATTCGTAACTGGCACTAGCAAAGTACGGAACAATCAATCAGTGACAATTCAACAACATTTAGAGAAAACGGGGAAAAGAAGGGGGGAAAACTCACCTTGTGGGCATTCAGTCGAGTACCTCAGAGGCGTCAACCATGCCGAGCTTGTCGGTATCAATGGCGGGTGGAGAAGGGCTTTGAGGGGTGGGAGGGAGGCGCGAGGGTTAGAGGGCCCTCCCGCCAGCTCAACGACCAACCACTTTCGCGCCGACACCCTCTTCCTCGATGTGTCGGCTTGGGGGTGGCGTTGGTTCTACATGCAGGCACGAGAGGCAAGAGGCCAGTGGGCCGAATGTTGGTGGCCTCTAGGCGGGTCTGAAGGGTTGCGATGGCCTTGCGTGTTGCCATGCACCCGCTTCCTTGCCGCCGGTTTGAGAGACGCCATGGGTGGTGTGGGCAGCAAAGATTCGGCACAGGAAAGAGGGGAAGGACCCACACGTGGGTG